ATCACTATTGTAAACCAGCAAGAAGGGTATTCTACCATTACAGACTGTAGTAGATATAAACATGTCTGTCTCTTCTTATTCCTGAGCTGACCACCATCGGGATGAAATGATGGTCAATTTCACCGAGGCCGGCAAAGGAGTGCTTAGGGAAGTTATGTATTGTCTTTAGATACATTTGGAACATATCTATGTGCACACCAGTGGGTGCATTCCCTATCCTTGATACAGATGAGCTTGATTTCCAGGAAGCACAAATCTGTGTAATTAATGGACAAAGCAAGTACTGGATCACAGCTGTAAAAGGCTGAATATATATCTCATGTACTATGTTGATTTTACAGTTCTAACATAGGGGAAGGGACCTGCTTCTGCTGCGGCAGGAGAGCCCGGACAGTGACCAGGATATTTGGTGTGACACTTTTTGCGATGGTGTCACAGCTTGTCACGTCCGCGACGCGTCGTTAATTGCTCTTTACTGCCAGAAAACCTACAGCGTGCTACGTTCACATTCACGCGTCACTTGATTCATAAAAGTTAATCTATATCAACGAGCGCATGCAACGTTGGTTGTACATTTTTGTTAAATGTACTTGCGGTCTCGTTACCTCTATCGAATGAACTTGATATTGGGAAAATCAGAAATTCAAAACCAACGTTGCATCTTCTGTATCATGACATCCCTGCTGGTACATTTTATACGCGTGATTTCGACTTGCGGAAGGCTCTATGAAGGCGGGGGATTTGCGACCACTTTCTTGCAGAGTCCAAACAGATGCAAACAACTCGCCGCGCGACCCGGAATTGCGCCTCCCCATTGAGGCTGTATCCACGAGATGCGCGTGATCTTCGGCCACGCAAGAGACATTTTGCGAACATCTTCGTCCGTGGTGTAAAATGCGATGTTCTCGCACGACACGTTCAACCTTTCCAGACTTCTACATTCCAAGAGGGAAGAAAGCGCGTCCGAAATGCGGAGCACGCCGTCTACTGTGAGGTGAACAGATGAATGCAACTTGAAGCTGCGTAGCCTAGAGAAACGAACAGCCTGGAGGAGGTTGATCTGCTTCCTAGGAACCTCCACCATATTGTGCAAGCAAATATCAAGATCAGTGATTGACTCTCGAGGCAACGCACGCAGAAACTGGGCCAGCCCTTCTACATAAGCGGATTCAATTTCCAGGTATTTCAGCCGCGGGAATCCCGTGGTGATGGAACATGCTTCCAGAGAGAATTCACCAACGTCTATGTGCATTGAAGTGAGGGATGATAGTTGCGATATGGCGTAGAAGGCATCGTCGCTGAGGACAATTCTTTCACCCATGAGTGTCAGGGAGCAGATGTTGATCCATGAGGGAATTCGGTCCAAGCAAGCGTTTAAGCGGGAGGCATACAATTGCAAGTGCCTGATACGTGCACTTTCCGAATTGTTCAACTCTTCGAGTACCCTTGCGACGCCAGCGGCACTGTCCTGCTCCGGAGAAGCCGTGAGATACAATGTCTTGATACCGGACATGGGAGCAAGGCCCGGGGTCAGCTCAGGATTGACTGCCGGTGGTATGTGCAGCCATTCGAGGACCCGGACCGCGGGCAGGAGGGGTGCAGGAAATGCTTGCAGTAGACATCTCAACAGATCGATGTGCAGCTGTGGACTTGGCAGCTTATACCGCATACATCTGATCCGATTGGCGTACACCGTGAATGTCTGGCGCTCCTTCAGAGATACGTCGCCCCAGAAAACCTGAACAAAAAAAAAGAAGCTAACAGCAGTCGGACTCGTGTAGAACATACTGCTACTCACGCAAGTGCCTGATTTCTCGTCTATCTGCAAAGTAGACAGTAATCGGAGGAGAGGGAGAAGGGAGTCCATGCACTTCCAGAGCCCATCTAGCGCAGGAGACACGAATACCCTGCACGTGAATGCCGCATGATACAAGTCCTGTCGAATCTGTCGCAGAAAGAATGGCTTCCAAAGGAATCTCTGGCGCAGGAAGTGATTTATGACCGGGAGCTGCACCGCCATATGGGTCACGAATATCTCGTGGAGGATATCTTGCGTAACCAATGCTCTGTGCATCGTAGGAGTTCCGTACGAAGTCCAATCAAGCAATGTCCCGGCCGAGCTTGATATCTTCTCGTCTCGCGACTAGTGCTTATGCTATCAAGCAGTGGAAGGGCCATGAAAGCCAAAGGACTGATACGAGAATGAACGTGACTGTGGCTGAACTCAAATGGCTCGATCAGATCGGACAAACAAGGGTAAATAATGCCACTGCCACAAGCGGGCGCCCCACGTTTTGGTTCACATACTTGGTTCGCGATTAAAGTAATTTAGTCCACAACACAGCGGAGGCTAGACGTCGCAGCTTCTGTGAGAAAGGAGGGCACGGTCGCGAAGAAACAAGCGAGCCAAAATAACTCGTACGGGAGATGCCTTGGATGCTGGAAGTAGTGTCAATGCTCTTCCCCTACCGATTTCTAAGCGTTCCGGACGAAGGACCTCGCAGCGGGGCACGAGTACGAGGCCTCAGACTCGTCCAAGCCACAGCGCAGATCACACGGATGTTGATGTGGTCAACCGGCATGAAGGGCAGAAGAAAGCAGTGACGTCGACCAAGAATAGGGAGCGTCCTGATACGCATGTCATGCAGGCTGTGTCTGTGGTTCTCGGACCCCTTGAGCTGTCGAGTTAGGGTCTCGTCGCAAGCGTACTCACGTACCGGCACGTCGTTGGGTGTCAGGAAATACAAGGACAAGACGGCGTTTTCAGTTGTGTCGGCGAACAGATCGAGCGGCGGCGTCGGGGCGCCCTGCCAGTCGTTTCCCCTTGCGAACAAAGACACCTTGTAGTGCGTTCCTCTGGTCAACAGGACCTTGGAATTTTTCCGAGGTTGAGAGAATACACCTGGCAGAGGCGTTCCATCAGCCGAGTTCACTCAGTCCGAGTAAGTGCACAAATGGAATGTGGCTGGTAGGCGCGCGTCGGCATGCGGCCAGGCCACTGGCAGGCCCAAATATAGGTCTTCTGATCATAAATCAATGTTCCTGGTTTCAATGGACAAAGCTATAGATACCAGTCCCACAGCGACCACCGCCGCCATCGTCGCCTGCCACCCCGCCGCCCTTTCATCCCTCCTCTTTCTTTCCCTTTCTTTCTTTCTTTTCGCCGGTCCAAAAGCCTCAACTTGGGACTTTGTACGAAGTCCTCCCGACATTCTTTCCTTCGATCAGCTTGACGCCGACGAAACACACCATGCATATCCGACGTGAACCTGCTGTGCGGGCCCTTGGACACGGGAATGCATTTATCGCGAACGGCGAGCAAGCGCAGGGACGTATTTTGGAGGACAGGGCTATCACGGTCACCAGCCTCGTAACGAGCACGGTTTCGGCGAGGCCTGCGGTGAGTGCTACGCAAGTCGCGATCGGGGTCATCCCAGCCTCGATCGACCAGTCGCCCGCCTCGCCCACTTCCACCTCGACCTTCACCGTCACCGTGAAGCCGTCTACCTCGTCAGCGGCAAGCACGAGCTCGACGAGCGCGAAGCAGTCGTCTACGACCTCGTCGTCCGCGTCGCCCTCTACCTCGTCTTCCACAGCCCGTTCGACCTCGAGCACGCAGCAGACTACCAGCAGTCGCGCCTCGTCTACTTCCTCTAGCGCAGCGCCATCCACCACGGCCCCCGCACCCGCCGCCACACCAGTTAGCGGAGGCAGCAAAGGCGCCACCTCGAGCGCGTCCAGCTCAGGGACCGCCGCCGAGTCCACCGCCTCCGCCGGCTCAAAATCCGACATGTCCACCGTCTCCTCCGCCGTGCACCGCTCCTCCGTGCCGCCAGGCGCCATCGGCGCCATCGTCGCCGTGGTCATCCTCGTCGTGCTCGGCCTCGGCTTCCTCCTCGTGCGGCGGTACTTCATCCGCAAGCGCCAGGCGCGCCGCAAGACATGGGGCGCGGGCCTCGTCGCCGCACCCGACTTTTCCGACACGGAGCAGAAGTACGAGCAGGCGCGCGCGGCGGGCACGGCGCCGAGCATCCGCTCGTACGGCGGCGCAGATAGCGGCGACGCGCGCTCGTTCGTGGACCTGCCCAACCCCTACACTGCCGCGCCGAGCACGTACGCCGCCGCCAACGCGCTCGCCGCGCCCGCGATGTCGTACAACAACCCCGCGCCGCCGCCGGTGACGCCCTCGGTCAGCATGCCCGTCAACGCGGCGGGCGCGGCGGCGCTCGCGAACGCGGCCGTCGTGCGCTGCACGTTCATCCCGAGCCTGCCGGACGAGCTGTCGATCACGACGGGCGAGACGGTGCGCGTGATCGGCGAGTACGACGACGGGTGGGCGCTGTGCGTGAACGGGCGCGGCGAGCAGGGCATGGTGCCCGTGGAGTGCTTGGACAGGAGCCTGGGTGGGCGGGCGGGGCTGCCCCCGCCGATCAGTGTGGGGACGGCGGACTGGAGGGCGTCGAAGAGGGTGAGCAGCCTCGCGAGCCCGCGCTTTGCGAAGATGACCTAAAGGTAAGAGCTATTCTTGATATTCGCACACTTCAGTGTTGACGAGCCTGCGCGCAGATCTGATGCCTCCCAACTCCAACGATACTCCTGCGCGGCTGGATCCCCCTTCCCCTTCCCGGTCCAGCTTAATCCTTCTGCTTGTTTGCTGAGGCTTTTACCCGCTCTGACGGACTGTTGCTTTACTACTACTAACTTACCGGTGTTTCTCTTTGCTTTTGAATTCGGGCTTGGAATTGGAATTGCAGGGTAGGCCGCCGTTCGTGTCTTCGCTTGGACCATTTGTTTTCCTCCCGCCGCAGGTGGATATTATACCGTGCATACCCTCAACCGGACGATCGGCAGCATTCCCGCAGCGTCTGTAGAGCTGTGTACCCTTTTCACGCTTGTACAACTCAATCGTGCCATTACCATGTGCTTTTAGTCCCTGCGTATGCTGAATCTTAAGGGAAACGTCGTTCTCCCATGGGTTATGGCGGATTTGTGGCACGAAGTACGCCCGTATACGTACTTGCCACATGACGGTATCAAATCAACGCAGCCGCGTTGGTAGCAAATACAGCACTCACGAATCGGAAGCAATGACAGACTCAGAGTGCAAGCGACTCTAACGTGAACTGGGCATATTTCCAGTGATTCCCGAAGAGCAAAACAGGGCGACAATGGGCAGATTGCAAATCATCGCGAGTACAATGGCGTCTGAACCTGACATACCTTCGCAAGCCGTCCCACGCGAATACATACTACGTCAAATTAACTTCCCCGTCCCGTTACCAAGGTTAGGACCACGACTCGCGGTAGTACGTCAACATTAGAATTCGGGCAAGCTTTCTAACTTTCGTTCCCAGCGGTATTATTGTCAGTCCTGCACTTAACATGTCATTGCCAGCGATCGTGAGCATGAGATAGTATGTACAGGTTCGCCATCCGCAAGGGAGGCTAAAGAATGGAAAGATACAGCAGTCTAGTATACAGCTCGAAGGAAAACCTGAAAAAAAGATAAAGAACAAGAAACTACGAAACAGCCGGAGGGACGGCGATGAGTGGACCGAATCGAAAGAAAGTAGGTATGTACACCGGCAGGGGCCTCAAGCCCACGAGAAGGCGAGAAAAGACAGAGCATCTAGGAGCACGGATATAGTATGAATAAACAATATATACCATAACACAAACGGCATCCAGGGGGACGGACGTCGAGGGAGTACTAGTACCAGAAGAAGAACGACGAGCGTATCACTCGGAAGAGCGACCACAACACTGCAAGCGCACATCAACTCGAGCCGGTAGGTCGCGATACGACACTACGCACCGTTCAGGTACCCGTACTCGGACGACGACGGCGCGTAGGACGGCTCGGGCTTCGAGATGGCGGTCGCCCGCACCTCCTTCGACGACGCGTGCAGCTCGTGCGCGGACTCCTCCGGCTTCACCGGCAGGAGCTTGACGTACCGCGTCCGCTTCACCTCGGCGCCGTTGTCCCCGAAGTACCGCTTGGTCTGGAAGCTCCAGTGGAGGGACCCGACGATCCACTCCTGCAGGCCCTGGACGTACCCAGCGACGTCCTTGTCGACCTCCGGGCCCCAGGACGGCACCTTCGACTTGTTCTCGATGAAGGTGTTGATAGTCTGCCGGCAGAGGTCGCCGACATAGTCGATGGCCGACTGGAGAGTGTGGCCGTGGTACTGCATAAGAATAACGACCATGTTATGGGTGTCGCCCCGTGATTGTTCCACGTTGTAAGAGAAAATATCCTACACGTCCGAAATATATTGGCGTCAACGAAGACAAATATAAAGACAATGGAAAGAAGACATACGTTGGACCATGTGACAAGGTCGTTCGTGCCTTGATTCAAAGCCTTGATCACTGGATGCTCGACCACGTAGTCGGGCAGGTCAATGCCCAAAGCGTACTCCATCAAGTCAAACACGGGCTTGCAACCGCTCGTATCGCGGCGGACGTCGATATACGACTCTAAGTCCGGGATTATGCCGGCGTCGCGATCTTGTGCTTGCTTGTGGACGGCTTCAAAGAAGAAGGACAACGACTCCTTGAACCGCGCCTGCACGCCGGGACCTGCGTCTTGAATGCAGCGCGCCCAATAGCTGTACGAAAAATTGTAAGTCATTGAAAACACAAAGTTGAAAGTAATGGAGCGCACTCTCGGGCGATTTGACCGGCGTTGATCTCTTTCTCGGGTTGTTCTTTCCCTGGAGCATGAGTAGGACGATACTCATGAGGGTACCATAGAGCGTTCATGACTGCGTCGGCCAGTGTCTCCGTGTCGCGGGTCATCATACCGTCCGAGATGTTGTCAAGGTGGAATAGGTAATTCATGAAGTCGCTCACGACGCGAAGGTGATTGTCGGTGATAGAGTATGGGTAGCAATGAGCGGTGAGTTCTCCAGCTTGGAGACCGTAAAGGGCTTTGCGCTTCTTCGGGGTCAGGTCGGGGCACATTTGGTCTAGCCAGCGAACAGATTGGGCAGCGATAGCATCGCCATTGGGGTGGTAAGTGAGGGGAAAGGTGCAATGACCGACGAGATCAGGAAGGATGAAGTGGTCGGGCTCGGTGGGGTCGTTGGGGTAGCGAACGAAGGCGTCGACGGTCATGGCGGAAAGAGAGGGAAAGAGAGAGAGAAGGATGGGTCCCCAAGACAAAAGACGGTGGGTGCTTTAAGAGGATGTCGCGTAGGGCCGCCTTGAACTTTAAATGAGCAAAGTTGCGTCGGCAGAAACGGTCCTCTGAGAAGCACGCCAAGGACTGGGCCTGCAGATGACGGCGCGGTATATATACGGTGCAGCGCGGCAAATGAAACATTGTCTTGCAGCCGCCTGCCACACGGGGCGTATTCCAGTGCTATCAAACAATCAACAAAAAGGGACATGCTCACCGCAGCGTTGTCATTTCGGGTCAGTTCCTGAAGCAAAGTAATATTATCCCGGTACGCGGTCAGCCACTACGGACCGCAATGACACACAAAATATGAGATTCGGTGCGAGGATTAGACACGATTAGCCTCGCCTCACCGCTTTTGTTGGGGCCACGAGCCGAGGCTTATTGTTGTGTACTCCAGCTTCTCACCACCAGAGATCCGTGATCTTCGACAGATCTGTAGTCTGTTCTATTCAGAGGCTTCCTTCGGGCAGATATACACTCCAGGGCCTGATTCAGGACAGAGGGTCCACCGCTTCCAGACGCGTTGTTTTGCCTCAGATGAAGCTGCCCCTACGCGTTTTGCCCCAAGCAACGCGGGGGCGGCGAAAGCGTCGGTATAACCGTGGCATGGCTCGCGAGAGGGCATGTACCGACCGGTCGGATATTACATCGTCCGCAGTGTGCGCTCCTTATTGTTGTGGGCTGGCTAGTAGATTTTGACGCTGTGGTGGAGGGGCATAAACGTGATTGGAGAAGCGCAACGGAACCAAATCCGGTAATCTACCGAACGGCAACCATGGTTATCGTGAGGTTCCAAAACTCCACGCGCAGAACAAATTGCAAGCTTAGACAGGGTTAGAGTGCGTTTGTACGGCATACCTTTTGTACTTCAGACTAGACTACCGCTTGAAATTCGTAGCCATAGCGAAAAACCCGAAGGTCTCGCATTGACAAGTGGTAGTGCGACAGGTTGAATTCCAGTGTAATCGGAATCAGATCTAGACTGAGATCTGGGTTTGAAACGCGCCCATTGTCCGAGTGCGACAGCGTAATTATGTATCCTCTCGCGAGGTCCGCCCATAATCAGGTTCGCAGCTAATACGTCCTACAACTCCATTCTCCTGTTAATCTTGCCCAAGTCGAGCAGACACGAGGAGCGATAAAAATGATGACATTATCGACTGTACAACATGATAGTATCCTACAGCTTGATGAACGACGTATCGATACCATGCGAGAAGTCCCAGATTGCTATTCTCTGCGTCCAGCGGAACAAGGAGCAGCACGGCTATCAGCCAGGCGCCAAGACGAGAGGTTGGATGTCTTACCTGATCCTCTCCACAAGACACAATCTGCAAGACAGGGCACAGGTCAGAAAAATCTGGCGCCAATCTATTGCTCTGATTCCAGAAGCTGGAGCTCACCTTCGTATGATCGAAACCGACGCAGAAGATTCGCCCGGTATGGCCCCTCGTAAGGTCAGCGACGAGCGCACCTGTTTTCCTGCTCCAGACCTATAGAACGCGAGGGGATAGATCAGCATCATCCATGTCTCAGGGCGACGTCGAGGGCGCTGGTCAAGGCGCACTAGCCACCTACCTTGACGGTAAAGTCGTAGCTCCCACTGATGACAAACTCATCCCCCAACGCCACGCTCCTCACCAGGTCCGTATGGGGGTTCTCCCTCCGCCTCTTGACCACGCCGCAAGCCTCGCACATCGTCGTCGCCGTCGGCGACGGCGACGGCGGCAGGCTCGCCAGTGGCGCAGGCGTGTTATCAAGATCCGGTGACGTGGACCACCCTTGGCCGGTGACAACATTAAAGAAACGCAGGTGCTTGTCGGACGACCCCGACAGCACCATTGGATACTTGAAGTCAATCGATGCCAGCCTGTGGACGTATGATTAGCGCGTTAGACAATAGGTAGTATACACTCTGCCGAGCGCCCGCCGGCAGACAATAAGCCAGCAATATAATGTTGTCATTAAACGCACCCGCGACTATGATGGTTCTCGAATATGCGGAGGAGCGCGCCAGTGTCGGCGTCCCATATCCGCATCGAGCGGTCGCCCGACGCGCTCGCGATGAAGTTGTCACATATGGACACTGCATTCACCGCAGCCCTGTGGCCCTGCAGCAGGAATTGGGGCTGCAGGTCCGGAAATGAATACACCCGCACGGTCCTGTCTATAATAAAGATTGATTACAGTCAGCTCGGGCTGGCCCACTTCAGCATGATTACGCGACCGACCTTTCGAGCAGGAGACCAGCCGCCGCTCGTCGAACCTTACACAGAGGACGCTGTCGTCATGGTCCAGCAGCGCTCTCCGCAACTCTCCCCGTTCTAGATCCCACAGCCCAACACGTCTGTCGCTGCTGCCGCTAGCGATGTACCCATGCCCGACACATAGACTTAGTACGCTACTATCATGCAGGCCTTCCATGACCCTCTCCACCATCCCGTACCGTTCCCCTCCATTCTCTTTGCTGAGGTTCCACTCGCGTATCGTGCGATCCTTCGAACCGGTAAAAAGGGCCTGCTTCCCCGTCTCGGGGTATGTATACAACTGCAGGCAGTAGATGGTGTTAGAGTGGCCATTGATGGCGCTCCCGTCCGCGTTCTGCTTTCGGGACTGGAGGCACGACAGCCGATAGCTCCCGTCGCGCACGCGGTTCTGCAGCCGGACGTGCGTCAGGTACAGCAGCTTGTAGTCGTATTGCCGTACGGATGCGGACGGGTCGGCCGCAGGCAAGATTGCCGGCGCGGAGTGACGCGCATTGGGTTTGTGCTTGCGCGGCGTGCGACATGGGGGTGCGGCACGTCCGGGAGCACGGTACAACGGCAAAGGAAACGTTAGTGGGCCCAGGGAGACTGTCCGTGACGTCGATGGCTGGCTGCCAGACGATGTCATGTCCATCGATAAAAAGCCGGAATCATCCTGCTCAGAGATCAAGGGTCCGGATCCCACCCCGGAGAGATGCGTGTCTTCCTCGTCGCCCATGCCTTCGTCATCGGAGTCTTCCGCATCATCCATACCATCTCCCGAGTCAAGCTCGAAAGCGCGGCCCCGAGCGCGGGAGACGTTCCATTCCCATCCCTTGAGCTGACAGAGCGGCTTCCACAGCGTCGAGTCATTCGCGAGAGCATTCCAGCGACGGCTGACCATCGCACAGGACAATAGGCTCTGCCATGGAAGATGCGAGAGAACCTGCAGGGCGACCTCATTTGGTAACAGCTGCATATACCCGCTATCAATACACCAGAATGGATTGGCGGTGCAAATAAAGGTACGCACACCCACAACATCAAGCTGGAGCAGAGGGGCAATGCGGCGCTGGATATTGGCTACTCTGGACCTGGGCAGAGACGCCAATAGCGCATACGCGAGTTCTGCGCACGATCCACGTTGAATTAGGGAGTCAATTAAACAGGCAGGAACGGATAGAATATTAAGGTTCACCTTCACGTTCCTGCGCAGAGCCTCCCAGCAGGTTACTGCGCACCGCAGACGCCAAAGCTAAATTGTGGTCGACATCCATCCGTTCGTCGGTGAAACCCTCGTCCGCGAAGATAATCATATCGTGCAACGTGGGCAGCACTGAGTTAGATGGCCTGTGTTAGAAATGGATTCGAGGCGGTAGAAACCTAAAGATGAGCAAAGTCCAGCAAGCCTCGAGCTGCAGCAGCGTGTATCAATGGAAGGCAGACGAAGTGGCAGAACCCGGCAACGACGACACGCGGAGCGATGCAACGCGTGCAGAAGTGACACGTGGCCCTCTTCCGGCGTCACGTGACTGTCCCTGGAACGCGCATTCTCCGCTTGCGGTGGCTGTGCCATTCACCTTCGTGGATGGATCCACAGACCATGATCTCGTGGACCCACAAGAAAGAATACAGGCCGTGCTTGGATCTCAACTACATGTACAACAAGACTGTGTTTGTGATGCTGATAGTACAGAATTTACATGTACAAATACATTTTTCGGTAAAAGAAACATTATTAGTCCATGCTCTATCGATAAAACTTCACCTCTCGTCGACTGGCAAGCACTTTATTGCTCAGCCTCGCTACCGCTCGCCTCGCCCTCGGATTCGGCGTTGTCATTCCCGTTCTTCTTCTTCCTCACGATCACGTAGACATCAGCGTCCTCGGGAGCAGCAACAGCCTCCACATCCCCGGCAACGGTGCCCGTCCTCTCGGGCTGCGCCCTCTTCCTCTCAGCCCGGACCATGTTCAGATCGTGAGAGAGCAAGCCGTGGCCCGCAACCGGGCCCCAGTATGACGTCCCAGCGAGAGTGCCGATGATGCAGGTTCCTACCAGAATCGACAGGTAGAAGCGGTACTGTGAGTACCACTTGGGCGCTGGATATATGCGTCAGTACGTATATCTCTCGAACTCCAACAGCATATACTCACCCCAACCAGCGGTTGTAGCCCTCAAGTCAGCCCACCACAGACAGGTGAATCCCACCCATTGGACAATCAGCGCAGTCGTCGGCAGGAGCGTCAGCGTCGGCCAGGCCCACAGAACCGGGGCGGCACCCAGCGCCAATCTCGAGTACCCTTTACTGCCGCCGTAGCCGGCGAACTCCATTCCCCAGTGCAAGGCGCCGAGGAAGGAAAGCATGACTGCACCATAAGTTACTTGGATGTTGAGGGCTTGGTCGAGGATCGTTGACGCTACGCCCGGGTCCATGCCAACATTGACACCGGCAGCTGCGAGACCTGCCTGACGAGCAAGGTAGACGACGGTTGCAGCAGTGCCGATATAGGGCACACCACCTGGATTACGGTAAGTCAGGTCCTAGCGTATCATGTTCTTTGCACGCGATACTACACACCTAACAAACCGAAGACAATGTAGGGCTGAGGAACTGAATGCGCGACAGCGTTCGTGATACCAAGCTGAGCCCACCCCTCCAGTCAGCAGCATTCCACAAAGTCAAACAGAACAGCACTTACGAACGTCTGCTGCGTGGGCGCGACATTATCAACAGTCAAGTTCCCACCAGCAATCGACTTCGCCAGGTCCGCCGCGGAGTTCCCGAGCTCCTCCTTCACATTCTGCGCCGCATGCTGCACCGACTGACTCCCGGGCCTCCCAGACACCGACGACGCGACCCCGCGCGCATGCACAGCAGACGACAGCGGCAGCAAAGACTTGACGATAAACGAGTGTGCGCTCGGCCGCGCTATCGACGTCGGACGGCGCAGAGCGAGCGGCGCGCGGCGCATGGCCGCTGCCCGCGAGACAGAGCCGAAGAGCGTGTTCATGGCGATGATGACTTACGGTTTTTCTGGCTGTGAGTGGGGATTATAAGGGAGATATAAACGGATTTGGGCGTGAGTTGCAGGACGCGCATCGTGAGTGCGTTTAAAACAGGACGACTGGCCTGACGTCACACGCCTCTATTGAATCGTCACCTGGCGAAGCTGCTCCCCGATGCGGTAATACTCTTACCGCCTTTGGTAAGGCCTTATTCAGCCAATGCGTGGGAACCTACTTAGACAGGCTTCCCTCGAGCAGCCACACCAGTCGTGGCCGTCCTCGCGGAAACGTTTTGGCAGAACAGATTCGTGGATTATTCAAGAGTGAGGATTGAGGACATCTGGAGCAGGGAGGACTCTTGAACGCTTGATGTACAGGGCTGCAGACGACCAGCCAAACCGTTTCCTCCGAAACATACTCCAATGAATTTGACATATTCCTCCGCAGAAATCTATTCTTACACAGGCTATCTCAGTAACGCACCACGCAGCTAGGACATGTTCTACCCCACCTGACTATGTTCGCATCAGCTTCCAAGCTTACATTTCGCGTTCTTGCGCGCGGATCTTTCCTCCTACACGCCAACTTACTCATCTTGCTGTAAAGGTCCAGGACTGCCCTGATTTCTGTTTCACAGCGGGTCGCCTCAGGGTCGCCTGACTGCAGGCATAGCGTGGGCTATCTGACAGATTGTTGTTAGTGCTAGACCATTGTCGAACATATAAATGGACGTACTCACATGAATATCTTCCACAAGTTCGAGCCTATGCTTCTTCGAACACTTATTCTTGGAGCGCAGGTGTCCAAACAGGACTTGGGGAAGATCAATCAAGATCGCGACAAGTACACGAGCTATTCATGCTTGTACCAGAGTGTAGGCGCGGGTCTGGCATTTGCAGGCACTTACACCAGCACTGCGGCGTCCTTAGAGCAGAAGACGTGATACAAGCTATTCCAGCAGAAGTGCGCGACGAGCTCGACGCCAGCACAGCGAATCTACGCAGATAGGTCTCGCCTAGGCGCAGCGGTACTCTTGCTTGAAGGAAGAACGCTTCCCGAACCACCTTGTTCAACGTTTGGAAGGAACGTCTCGACATACTGCCACACGGCAATAACCCAGATTTTCTGGCAGAAAACTCCTGACTTCCGGTGCAGAGAGCTTTTGAGCGGGGCTAGATATAATCTGCCGGAGAGTAATGGCCACACACGGCTGTCGATAATGCTGGAAGGTATGGGCTTGACGTTCGACAGCGTTCGGAGGAATCAGATCCGTTGACGGACAGTAAGACTCGATCGTGCAGACTCGAGGGCCGGATATCGTTGTATGTCCTCGGTTTGGCGCAACGGCGAGATGAAATGAAAGAGCTTCGAGTTCGATCTTTTTGGAGACGATAGCACCCCACAGGTATTCGAGATATAGACAGGTCTTGCACCCCGACGCGCCGGTATATCGACATAGCCTGCAGGTTTGATAATCCTATTAGATGGATCAGAACGATGGTCATTCAGCCAGCATTGGTTGCACTCGGCTTTGATATCGGTATGTGGCAATCGAAGCCGGAGGTCGATCGTTCATAGATCGTCCTTAGGTTTGATGATGGCAAGCCTCGGACACCACATGCATTGATACCGTACAAAGGTCTTCTAGGATACCAGTCGAACTTTAATGAAGCCTTTGAAGTGCGTTACACTGTGTGCGCGAGCCCGGCCTAAATTAGACCGGTGATCGTGTGTTTCTGTCATTTCGGCCGGAAATAGGTTGCTTTCGGTCGAAAGCGAGTATCGGCTCAAATGAAGGTCGAATTAACGTACGCTAATTTTGGCCGGTATCAAGCTGAAAATCGAACGGAAGCAGTGGCTGCAAAGAGGAGTGTAAAGTAGTACGATTATAGAATGAGATCCTGCCGCAATTGAGTCCCAAAAAACAGTTCAATACTAGTACTGGGACAGTTATGAGAGGCTGTCCTCCCCGCCCTCGACGAATATCGGCTGGGCCAAAGGACCACTCCGGTCAATAATTGCCCACCACTTACGCACATCATCATACACACGTCCAACTACGCACTGCACGGCGGCGAGATCCACTACTTCTGTCCGACCTTCTTCCCTGTAGAATGGGACATCAATATCTGCCGGTTTGTCAATCTTCACTGAGTGTACAGCAGCGAGCAAGATAGTTGTCGACTCTGAAAGCCCAAGATCACGGGATGGCGGCAAATCCAAGACAAAAATGTTTCTCAGCTGGCCATAGAAATCGCATGGCTCGAATTCCGGTGTTAGTGCACGCCGGCGAGCATTCTTATCCACGAGCAGCTGGTACTGTAAGGCATGGATTAGCATATCAGAACATACATATAGGCGGTACCATGGCATACCCGTACGAACGACGCAT